ACATTTGCTTATGCACCCATTTGAGACACTAACTCTTGATGTGGGTAGAAAACCCTAGCTCTCTCTCGAGGAGCGGCTGGTGGTTTTGAGCCGTTGATCTTGTGGTTAGCAGCACATTGAGTAACTACACCACCACCAAAGAGGCCTCTACTCAGTCACTATTAGAATGGATGGACTCAATGGCAGGGAGTTTTGGGTGGTTGGGCTTTTTTGGGGGGTGGGGTGGGGCTGTTGCTAAACTAGGCCAAAAAGAGAGGATCCAGAAGTAAAGCTTAACTCAATTTTGGAGTGACAATAAGGTTCAGGTGTGTTTGAAAGCAGCACCTGGTCCAGCATCTTCCAAGTTTGTTTGAGATCCAGTGGCCTTTCTGACCAAAGAACAGGCGCCTGGAGGAATGTGGCTCGGGTTTCTCCCCTCCCGCCTCTCACACGCCGCCCCCCTCCCCAACTCCTTGTAAACAGCCGATTGCTTAAAATAAAGAAGTAAATCTAAATGGAAAGGCATGTTGCTGGTGTAGTCTGCTCACTCTGGCTCCCGTGTTCCCCGGTGACAGTAGAACTGCCCCCAGAGGGTTTTCCTGGCTGAAATCTTTACCGGAAGAGCCCTGTGGCACAGCGGTTAAGCGCAGCTTCCTACCTGACAAGTCACCAGGTTGAACCCAGTGGGAGAAAGATGGGATCGTTTGCTCCTGTGAATATTCTCCTGCCATCGAGTCAGTGCTGACTCACAGTGACGTCAAAAAAGTCCTCCCTCACTTCCTTGGAGCAGCTGGTGGTTTCGAACCAGCTGGTTAGTCAGAGCAGCTCACCTGGTAACCACAGTGCCGCCAGGACTCCTAGCCATGACATTCACCATGCTCACTGCCATAGAGTCAGTGCTCACTCACAGCGATGCCCTGTGGGTTCCCGAGACTAAGTATTTACAGGAGTAGAGAGTAGAACGCCTAGTCTTTCTCCTGAGAAGCTGCTGGTGGTTTCGAACTACCGACCCTATGCATGGCAGCCCACCACGTGACCACCACAGGGCTCTATCTGTTAGCTTAGGGACAGGGGGTCTGTCCCTCCCATGGCTGCAAAGGCCCCCATAGAAGAGAAATCAGGCAACCATTAGACACCTAGGAAGACCCCAAACAGCATGCTTGTTTTCAAGACCCCAGCCAGGTGGGAGGTATACCTGGGTGGGTCAAACTAAGCCCAGGCTCATGCCATCACCCAGGTGGGCCTAACTCAGCAAATGGGATCAACCACAACCATCAACCTGCCTTCCCCCAGTCAGGGGGTGGGCTAGAATAAAGGCAGGGAGCACGCTATGGGATGCTCTCTTACCCTGCTCCTGGTCAGAGGCA